TATATATATATATATATATATATATATATATATATAGCCTGCATAGCGACAATACAATGTTGATGTCGGATTATATAACTTAATGAAAGTTTTCGAGTTTACCAACGGAAAGTCACAACAAGAGCCCCAGCAGAATCTTATTGCGGCACCATCTTTTCGTCGGTATATTTTTGTTAAGACAGAATCCGACGTCATAGGTGGGAGGTAATAGCAGTTTTTGATATTGATACAGAATTTCCGATGTCTCTATCACCGCCTTCAATCAAGTCACAAATGTAATGGAGCTTTTTTGAGTGGAACCTTGATGGGTAATGAAACTACATTAAGTATTGCGCTGTCAGTGATGTTGGTGATAATGTGGTGATGGCGGAACTTAAATTATCCTTTAGACTGCACACCGATTTTTCTATTCTACTCGATTCTAACAACTTAGCCACACAATCAAGCCTACGTAAAATAGGCGTTGTTAATAGACCGAATTCATTTACTTTTGACCTGCCATAGGAACGAGGTACCGGGAGCCAGTATGACGGATGCGTTCAGTGGTTCGCCAAGTAAAAGAGTAGACAAATCTTACAGGGCATTAACACTTCAACTGCTCTTCTCAGTCACACGTGTGAAACAAGCATGATTATATACAGCGGTAGCATCGCAACAAAAATGAGTGTCACATGTGCAATCCAAGCCACAGATGTCAAAAGACCACGGCTACTGAAGTGGTTGAACCATAGCCGTTAGGCTTCGGTCACGGAATCCACAGCTCGGAAAAATCGTATAAGACCGTTGGATTTATGTCTTCCAACAATCACTCCAGCTACACTTTCACAATTGAAAAGTACACGCATTCCTCCCGAGTGAATCTGTTGATCCCTGCATCCCTCTTTACTCGTGAAATCATGCTTGTACCGCAGAGCACTCGTGGGTGTTGCATGTGTGCGCATTAATTCGTCATGTCTCGACTTGAAAACCAGAGAGATCATACGCTGTTTGTTCCGATGACTTGAACGGGTATATCTCATCACCTAATCCCCTAGATTTTCATTCGTTCTTTGTGGTGCTGTTCAGCTGACATTGTGTTTGACGCTGGATATGTTAGAATCCACATTAACCAGGCCTGGGAAATGTGATGGTATAGTCTGCTATGGTTCCTTGTTTCAGTAGAGAAAAGAATGCCTTTGGTTTTCCTGAGAACATGATATATATAGGCTTTCGGTCCTCGGCCATCGATACACTCATTAGCTGGCTCGCATGGTCGGATGGCAATGAGGTAGTACACGAATCTATATGCGGCAATAAGAAAGTGCATGTTTGAAAGTCGGTTTGGTGGAGCGGCAGATGCGCGTGACCTGTCGCTAAACATAAATTTGACAGCTGCGCAGAGATCCAGCCGCCCACGATAAAACACATCCACTGCAACTTAATTAGTAATCACCAGCACGACATTATCACTGGTATCGAAGCGCCACTTATTTCACATGTCTCTATGGTCTCTCCAGTATCATATATAGTGGCTAATCTTTTCTTGCACCATGTTGAAAGTAAGGCCTTACGTAACTTCGCTCATCCACCACGCACCTGGCTGAGATACTTTGATGACGTATTCGCAATTGCATCATTCATACAACAAAGTGTTTTAACGAACAATGAAGTAGCATAAGATTCTCGACGGGAAATGAGGACAAGCAGATCATTAGTTTCCTGAAATGCAAGCTATCTGTTAACATCAACCGTGGATTATAAGTGGGAATCCACAGAAGACCCCTACATTCAGACAGGCATTGCATTATGAGTCTTCGCATCCACACCAGGTCAAACGCGGAACTATCGGATCTCTGGGGAACCGCGTCAAGAAACTACGCTCGAATTAGTCCAGACGAACTGAATCGACTCAGTGGGGTATTACAGCAAAATAAATACCCGTGAGGTCCATCGCCCCAAAAATGGGGAGGACGCTACCCGGAACGGTGAGGCAGAAAGACGAAAACTCAATGGCAATCGTGGGACTACCCTATAGAAACGGCACCACGGACGTCATTCAAAGGATACTTCGGGATTATGATACCAAAACATTCTGAAGTGATAACAACTTACAGCGAAACCTCGTAAGGGCTAAGGACCTTATCGAATTGAAACCCCGTACAAACTGCGTCTACCGAATTCCCTGTGCAAGATTCCGTCAGACAGTCAGGCTATCCACGTGCGAATCGCAGAGCACAAATGAAATGCGCGTTTTCCTCCAAGGAACCCAACAGAGTTTAGGAAAGCTTGAACTGAGCCAGTGCACTCCACGCACTTGAGTCAGTCAAATCAACTTCGATGGCACACGTATACTGCGATCAGGATTCACATGTGGAACGTGGGTGCGCTGAAGCTCTAGTGATCAACACAACCAAACCGTAGTGATGGCGCCAGCATCCCGTCTATCTGGCTTGGACTTACTGCACAACTTAGTATACATCGCAGCCACGTGTCACGGAGAGATCTCAACGATGGCATATCTCAGCCAGTACAACTACAAACCGAGGCGCATCCTAATCAAAGTATATACACAATCACGAGTACACGTACACAGAGCTAACACAAACCCAAACACGCCAGTCGAATCTGAGTATCAAATTATCTCAGTAGCACACCAATCAGAAGATATTATACTGGACCCAAATGACACTGCATCAGACCCGTACTAAGTTGATTTTAGAAATCCTCGTGAGAGGTTGCTTACGTCGGATTATGACATCTTATAACACTACGCTATTTTGACTTTATAAATTCCATAGCTAAAGTGGGCTTCATTCATAACGTCATGCTCTTGCTTCTGTTCTACTCACTAGCTGCAGATTTAATGTGGTATGCGGAGAAAGCGGCTGATTTTCAACCATGTATACACGATTATTCTTCAGAAAATATGGTGCTTTGTTTCTGGCTTCGGGTGGCGTATGATGATCCCGGTATATCGAGGCACATAAAGGTACTTCTCGAAACAACAAGGTTGTAGGCGAATTTGTAAATTCTCAGACAGGACGTGTTTTTTGTTTGCACATCAGAACTGACTAATTTAAATTCAACTCATGGCAGTGCCTAAGAGGACCGTGACGGCACAGGCAAACTGTACACGCTCCAACATAGGTCACCTTCCTTATTGATTGAAGAGATTTCTATCTTAAATGATATGAGAAACCGAGCTAGTAGCTGAGATTCATTTAACTCACTTTCATAAGATTTCAATTGTTGTGGACCAATTGTTTGTATGGACACCTTTGTTGCGATGAGCAGGCAAACACATACACTCATGCAGACACTCAGTCGCGTGGATCGAACATATTCACAGTGCAAAATCATAAGATAATCCATGTTTTCGCTATAACTGCACTGCTGATGGGTGGAGAGGGGTTTTTTAACAGCGCGCAGCAGGTCTCATTAGAAAACAAACGAAAAAATTGGAAAAACGGTGTGAAGGCTCACAAAAGATGGGAAGTAGGGTCAGTGGAATTATATAACCACCAGATGGTGCTGTTCAGCGATATATTCCGGCTACTTTCTATGAAAAGCCTCATTTTAATGAGTATCTGACTGATATTTTGAATAGGGCTTCTCCACTGAGCTTTCAGTGAGCCATGGATGACCGTTCTTCTGTGCATCAGCTAAGCCTTTGTTACTTGAGGATCCTCACTAGGGTTGGGATCATGAATGAGACTTAGCCAATGACCCCGGCCAGTCTTCACTGGGCTTAGGTTCATGAACTTGTGTTTACATTTCCGAAAGTTTCAGTTTTATTTATGCTGGTGGTAACCAGCAGGAACATTCCTTTTCCCATCATTTGAATGTACGAACCGGAGCAACGTCCCAGCATTCCACACACAACTTTTTTAGGCTTAAAACAGCAAACTAGCAATAACCTACTATCGCTGATTTCTTGTGTACCCGTGTAATAACCGTGATGCGGTGGGACTTATGGTCCATGCCTAGCAGAACTCCCTGAACTCTTTAGATGGCACACAGATGTAGATAATTACGGTTGACAGATGATTCCATCGAAGATGCCAGTAAACTGCATCAATGTCCCATAATCGGTAAATGCTGTAGCTTTGCTCGTCTTCCGAGCGTTTGCTTTGATCGTGTTGTCACTAAGTACCGTCCCTTTACATCCTCAGCTTCCAGAACGAGTGAACAAAAAACACCGAGGCCCTAATACGTACATTCGGACCTCGGGATACTGAGTACTACCACTAGTTATCACGAGTAGGCGGGAGAGTGGGATACAAAAAAGTCGATGCGGCAATTTGCACGCATCACCTCACCAACAGATGGTTTGTGTTACTTCTCGTGGAAACACTGGGCTAACCAACTTGTGGTCCTGATAGCAATCCAATTGAAGAAGCATTATGTATGGCAGGACACCTGGTCAACCAACGTGTAGTTCCCTATGACCCCAAAAATGATATGGTGGTTATTCTTAAATGGAAACAGAAGTTTCATCCACACATTCATCAGGAAAATCTGTGTGTCCGGGATCCTCGGACAAAAATCCCCTCGGTGTTGCTTCACAACCATCGTTCTCATGCTGATGTCGCAATTATTTTCCACTCCTTTTATTTTCACGCCTGTTCTCCGCAGTAATGTACGGTGTGTGTCTCAAATGGGACCTTACACCTACTGACGAAGAACAATTTTCGCTTCATTCATTAAGGGCTCTAGCACCCTTTTGGAGCCTAGCTGCAGAGCCACCTGAAGGAAGCACGAGGGCTGGGATACTGCCAGATTGCCCAAGCATAGACAGGGGAAGTCGAGAGGCAGAAGTCGGGTTCGAACTACGAACCTCCCGGTCAGTAAATTCGCGCTCTAACCACTGAGCCATAGGAAACAAAACGGGAAAAATGCAGACGGTTTTGCGAGGCTATTCCTTAGATACCTGGCTACCATATGGCACGTGACTTGGTAGTGTCCACTGGCGCCTATAACTATCGAAGTATACCTCCGGGGTCTTCAATTACATGCAGAACACCCACAGCCGCGTTTATCCTCGTTAAAACTCAGGTGAAATGTGCAGTCCATGAAGTCTTGACCACTAATTTACCCATTGACTGAAAGTCTGCTATGATTCTGAGGTAAGTTATATTTATTAGACTGAAGTGCCTTGAGTGAAACAACACTTTGGTCTGAGTTTTTGGGTGACCAGGGGCTCAAACCTCGGACAGACATCTGGACTGAGTTGTGGGTACACCTGTTGATATGTTCTACTCCATTTGTTTGATAAATGAAGACAGAATACACTCCGCTTCATATTAGAGGTTTCTTTGATTGAGTCAACAGAATTTCGGTCGGAACTATCTGTAAATATCTGGATTTTGAAGCATCGGGTTATGGGGCATGATGTAATTCAGTAGGCGTATGTTTGCACAGTTTACTGTAACCAAGTGACGAGTTACGATCTTGAAAGTGCACCATTTCCAACCTCCTTCAAGAATTATGATCACCATGAAGCAATGAACCATTAAAACAGGGATTTCCTCCTATCTCTAAATCCAGAAATCTCTGAGATTTGTTAGATGTTAATCAGAGCATGTGAATGGTTCAGTGGTGGGCTAAATGTTAGAAAGGATAAGAAAAACCATCTTCAAATGCAATGAATTACGGACTGGCAGTAGGACCTCATACAAAAAGTTGCGAGTGACCCAATGCTCAATGTCACGAACGAAAATTCGGGTATCAGGTTCAATCAAAAACGTAAGCAGCTAAAGTGGCATCTATCCCAAAGACCAGTGCCATACAGGCGAAAAAGAACAAGCGGTTGATCTTTTCGACAAAGGGATTTGGATCTAGGTCGCAAGTAGTCTTCGAAAAAAACGACCTAGATGGATATCGGCTTAACTGTTACATCCATCATCATAGCAATAGAGTTGACTGGGCGAATGGCTTAGCTTATCGACTTATTTACAACTAAGCGAAAGCCATGAAAACTAAGTTGACCAAAACTCAGAACAAAAGTAGAGTTGGCATTGAATAAGTGTAGAAAAAATCCAAACCCCATAGAGAATCACCCTGTTTAGTCGTAGGTAGATGCAAGGCAGTCCTGCCTTGAGCGACGCTTCAGGTTCAGCGCACGGTCCTAGGCTGGTTAGCGGGAATTGACACGGTTGTTCCGGGAATGTGATTGCAGCTGCGCCATCAGGGCAAACGGTAGTCAAGTTCGAGGCCTCATACCGACTGAGCAGTCTACGAACCCCTTCTACGTATGGCGCATTGATACTAGACGGAAAAGTGGTGAATTGTAAGAAGGCTGTCGTGGTAGTGACACGAGGTGCAAAGGCCACTCCTGTAAAAAGCCAGAAAGTAAACAGATATATTCACCATCAACAGGATGAGATATTCAACAGCGACTAAAATGATTTGGCGTCAAGTGAGATGAGAATAAACCAGGTGAGTTCATCAATAGAATTTTACATAATATGGACGTATGAACAAGAGAAAACAGCTTTGGTGGCAGTCGTAAGGTCGTAAGCTTCACACATAGTTCGTCCGAAAAGGCTTCATCGTTACAGTGAAGAGACGGTTAGGTTCAGGAATACATGTGTGAAATACTAGAGTTGCAGAGGTACTTATATATGAAATTTCCGTTGAACCTTGAGGCACAAGTGCAACAGGAGTTAATGAAGCTTCGTCTGACTAATGGTTTCTGAAACATAACACGAGTATACCTCTTCAAAAACATTCGTGACATTCTTCCCTTTTATGTGGGAAACAAGTGCCAACATTCACCTCGCCGCAGTCAGCGAAAGAACAAGAGATACTCAAATATTTTGGACTGATTTAGAATAACTGGGGAAATACTTCCAAATTGTCTCCCTTAAACCAAAGCGAGAGAATTGTGTTCCATGGTACTTAAGAACAGCGACTCAGTAATCATGTACTAGCCGGAATGGTAGGAAAATATCTTCCAAATGTTCGTCCCAGTTCACTTTGGTGCGTGGTATCAGCTGATACCACCAAACTGTATCTCTAGGCAAGTGGGTGGCGAAAAACTAAATTCAACCACTGGTATTATCGAGGACTGAAATAGCATTATTTGATGCTTCAATTTTCAGGAGCAGGGAGACCGTCTAGCTCAAATACTGAACTAAGCCGATTGGAACGTAGTGAACTAAACAACTATTTGTCACGTCAATTAAGGTGACGACCGAGGGATATCCGTGAATGAGAAGACGCGAGAAAAATTCGCTATGTAGAGGCCCCGGAAACGTTCCCTTCGGGAGAGAACATATGTTATCAAAGCACTCGGTTCAATGGCAAAACAAATCAAGGATTTTTTATATCCAAACCCTCCTGTTACCGCAGGCTGGAGAAACAAATAGTTTACTGCTCGCCAGTATAAGTGGCTACATTTCACTTGCTTTGCCACTGTAAGTAGAGCGACAATTTGGTGGCCAGACACAAAAACGGTTGGTAACCTGGCCTGGGGTGATCGCTGTGACCTTTTGGACCTGCCCTGGTCTGCAACAGGGAACGGAACTTGAAAACAAAATGGGTAATGTCCTTGAGTGCAGTAATATGCACAGTGGGATTGCTGACTCGAATCCAAACACGCACGTTGAATTAACATTCACGCGTATTCCAGTGTCTAAGGGTCTATGTGTGGTTTTTGGCGAACAGTGTATGTTTGACTGAGCGTAAGGTTGTCTGGATAGTAGTAATCCTATCCTCAACTGCCCCAACTGCACTGAACTGAATAAACCTAACAACTTTATCACCTACCTACATTAGCCAATCGATCGACCGATTAAGCCGTATTGGAATACGCAAAATCTTATAGCCGAGTTTAGCGAACAGCTATTGGATACCACTTTTGTCAAACCACTTTAACACAAGTTTAGAGGGGAATAAATTAACTTTTTACTTACATTTACTCTTGACCCTGTGATACTACATTCTGTAATCTGGATTTCTAACGAACGTAAATACACATTTCAAGTACAAAATAAATGGAGTCCACTGATGTCACCGAAAGTTACAACCGACAACTGGAACGGAAAACGTTGAAGGTCATTCTAATGTGATGGGTGATTTCAGATTTGCGGAACTCAATCGATCTTGAGGCAGCTGGTAACACACAGTAACAGCTGTTGAGAGTTTTTGACACAAAACGTGAGTGTGGCGTAACTTACGTAGATATGCTGAATAAATAAGAACTGCTATGTAGCAAGATTTTTCAGGACTTTAATGTTGCGGATGTCTGTGGATGTTCTAAAGAGGTTTAGGGGGTCACTAATGTAACTAGGGCATTTGTGAAGATCGAACCAACAGAAGCATGTGGTAGGGATTGCCCATTATTGTAGCACGAACTGAGAGCAACGGGACTTACTTGCCCGTTTGCAAAAACAATCACGATCAAGATGACAATGTTCATCAGTGCTCAACACTGATGCTTCTCTGCTGCAAAATTCAAATTGTTTGAAAGTTTATTATGAAAAAAGAATGAAAACATATGGAAGAGGGATTAAGCTCTAGCCTACCAAAATTATTCCGAGATGCCCACACCTCCAGACACTCATTCAGACAATCCGAACAAAAACTGGCAACAAGAACGCCACTGGCATAGATTGACGGCCATCTCTTACAGCATCTCTCATCATGTACTTGGGAGATTACGCAGACCCCATCCTGGAAGGTTCAGGGATATGCCGCTTTGCCACTACAGGCTTCGTGTCAATCACACAATTGAATAAAAACAGAGAGATTGGGTATCCTTGTCAGACAGCACTTTGTAATGGGATGCTTGTGGAGAGCGCTCCGCACACTCTCACACACTTAGAAGTTTTAGAATACAGAGAACCTATTATGTCCACAAACGGGCATTTCTCAGACAGCACTTTGTAATGGGATGCTTGTGGAGAGCGCTCCGCACACTCTCACACACTTAGAAGTTTTAGAATACAGAGAACCTATTATGTCCACAAAATTCCGGGCATTTCATGCCAAGCAAGCTTGCTAAAGAAAACGGACTGATCAACTGAGTCGAGCGCGTCTTGGAAGTCCCGGAATTCTGAAAGTGTGAGCCGTTTGCACCTGATGGAGTGTGTGAACGCGACCCCTTCCAAGCCAGGACCCAGGTTGCTGCTCTCACATCACGGGTGACGAAGGACAAGTTGCTCCAACAATCTCGTTATGATTGGAGGTAAGCCAATACCCCTGCGATTAATGCGCTGACTACGGAACGCTTTTAGAGAATGAGCACCACTTCCACAATTTCTTCCCAGTTTTCTGGGACGATCTCCTTTTCTCAAATGCAGACAACCAGATCAGCCGAGCGCTGGTTGAGGACTTCCTCATCTTTGAATAAGGCTGGTGGGGAAACATCTGGACCAGGATATCGACGGCGCTTGAGAGAACATATACAGTCATAACCCCGCCCCATGGTCATCGTCCAGGTTTCCAGTGAAGTTCACAAACCCTAATGAACAGCACCAGTGGCTACAAGAGTTGTAGTATAAAATGCTTGGCCAGACGATCGAGGTGCCCTTCTTTATTCAAGATGGCCGTGCCAGAATAATTCTTGATCGTTTTGGTCACCAGCATTTCAAGGCAACCGGTCACTTGGATCGGTCGAACTGGTCTTCAGACATCCAAATGTTCTTCGTCTATTCCATGTTTTTAGCACTCCGTGTCCATCAGGCTCCATCATCACCGCGCAAGCCGAGTTTTACCTGACATCTGATAATTTTATGGAACGGTGTGAACGTTTCTTTGAGATTGAAGAACCATCCCCGTTTTGCGTGATATTCAGATATGTGATGTCCACGATAAAACTGGCACTGGTTAAAAAAACAGTGAAACAATCTAGTGTATCACATCCGACATATGGTTGATAGTTCAGATCTGTGTTGTCGCGCGAATTGCGCTCGATGTATTTCGCCATAGCTTCTTGGAAACACGTGATATCTCTTTGTAGTCAATACGGTAAGCAAGAAAAATTGTAATTTAGCCAACCCAACAAGTTCGTGCTTGTCTTATTTCTGTGTTTTCACCCCAACTTTGAGAAACTGCTCGATGTGTCGTACAGCGGGAATATGTACTTATGGAGTTTGTGGCCTGATAATGTCTATACGGTGCATCCAGATTCGTCACATTTATTGTCAAGGTAGATGAAATGCTAATTCGCTACAGCTATTTGGGATTCTCTGTACATTAGCGTATAATCTCAAGACCTTCATCCACCGATTTTAGAAAGTGACCGCCGATCGCTGGTATAGAAGTAATGGTTTATGTCTCTTGCCCCAGTCTATTTAGTTCTTATCACATCTGTAGAGTAGGTGGCATTATCGCCCATGACCACTGAGGCCACTTCCCTACAAAAACTTATTCACAAGATGTGAGTTAGAGATTAAATGTTTGGTTACCGATGTCTGTTTCGAACTCATTTATTTTTGTTTCGCATTATATCAAAGCAAAAATATTATTGAGAAATGCTGAAGTCAACAAGTTTTACTTTTGTTACATCAGAAAGCATACTAAATATGCCGGGTCATTCGAATTTTTATGAGCTGTTCTACAGATTTTGGCGTAAAATCGTGATGCCTAGTACACACTAGGAATAACTCTTCTAAACTTCTCCAAAGAAAAGCTTTTAAGAGTAAACGGTTCCAGGTCGTAATACCCGTGAACTCGCCTTTTATTTCTTTACATTCCACACGCTTCAAAAGCAAACTTCATGTGCTTGACCACAATAAGGATGTTACCAATAATGACGTTGATGATAACGGCGATGACGAATGCGATCAGTACACCCTCTCTCGCCTTAAAAAATGGCATAACGTATGGGTTGTGGTGCCCAACAAACTAATGAGGCGAAAAAAAGCGCCTGGAACGGTGCAAACAAACTGCACCACACTTCGTAGTACGCCCGAGTGTCAAAGCCCTGCTGTAGCACCTAGTCTGCGACAGAAGCAGCTCACTGGCCTTGCTGATGATGGTTATATATGCGTACTTACGAGGGTGAATCACAAAAGTGAAACACATTTTAACTATCTTATTTTGTCGATTTGGAGAAAACTTCACGAACAGTTTCTCCGAGAATTTTGTCCAGTTAACTACCAACTAACACTGGATGAAGTTGTACTAAAGATCCTCAACTGCGTAAACTGAACCGGATAGCCATCAATTCAGGGGACGCTACTGTTGGCCTTAGATGGAGCGCGTGAACTGTGGAATGTAAATTTACCGCACACAATTGTTGAACACATTTTGCAGGTCAGCTAACCAGCTAATCTGGCTCTGCAAGATAAACAACACATCCGGAGCGAGTCCGCATGCGCGTTAGTT